GGGGTACGTCTAGGAATTCTATCGGCGACGGGGAGAGTCTAGAGATTGATCAGATCTCCATAGCCTGCTTCAAATGCACTGGGTCCATGAGGATCTGCAGCGCTTAGAGATCTTCACACAGCGTGAAGTCTCCTCCTCCCTTGTTCGTGGAGTCCTCCAACTTGGGCGGAAACCACTCAAGCCTCTTATACGGCTAGCAAGCCAATCACTAGCCGCCACGTGTGAATAATTTAGAACTGGCCAATAATGGGACCCAAATCTACATACAAATGGCGGGAACTCTTTGCAACGAGCATTTCTGTGCTGCAACAAAGAAATGCACCCTGCAAAGAAAGCTTAAAATCGGCGGGAAATTCTCTCTCGCACCGGGATTCTCTTTTGCAGCAGAAAACTCCACCATGCAAGGAAGCTTGCAATTTAGCAGGGACAATTTAGCAGTGCCGAAGCACACACAAATAAAAATCACACCTTTTGGGTTGTGACAAAAGGAAGAAACATATAGCAGAGGCAAAGTTTTTTGTGAATGATATCTTTTATTGGACCAACTGCATAGTTGGGATGAAGCTTGTCTACCGTTTTCCCCACCATGCCGGTGGGCCAATAAAACCATGCAGTTGGTCCAATAAAAGATATCACGCAAGGATTTTTGTGGGTGATATCTTTTATTGGACCAACTGCATGGTTGGGAAAAAGGTAGACAAGCGTCATCCCAACTACGCAGTTGGTCCAATAAAAGATATCATTCACAAAAAAACATGTAACAGTAATTTTAGAAGACATAAGAAGAAATTGTGTTCTTAACAGAACTTTTGTTCACACTTTAAGTTGGAGAATGAGAAGATTTTGCCATTAATTCATCTGGACCAGGTTTTGACTGAATTCCTTACTGATAAAAGTAAGTCTTGCCATTAACTTCAATGGGGACCGACCTTCCTGTATATGTGGTGAGGCTGAGGAAAATTCTGCAACCTTCCCCCCAAAAACATAACAGAGATTTCTCTCTAATTTACTATACACAGTAGAATTAGACCATGGAATAAAAGCTTAGCAACTTTGGATTTCATTCCAGTATTAAGGTTAGTCAGTAGTTTTCATTCTCAGTGGGCACATCTATATGAGACAATACTGTGTAGCGATTACTGTGCATGTATTTAGTATGGTAAACATAATTAGTTATTATCCATGTATCCTTAATTTACTGTACAAAGTTATAATGTGTCATAAAAAGGGGAATGATCAAGTTACCACCTTAATTATGGCCTTATTCTTCAGTTACTTACATACTTAATGTCATATATGTGAATACTACATGAAGAATGAGAGCAACTGTTTTCAGGATTTGGAGTATGTCTTACCATGATCTATAAAACACCTTGAACTACAGAGCCCCCTGATTTGACTGGGATTACACACACACACAAAAAAAGACTCAAATCCTGCAAACTTCTTTTTATGGATACAGAAGTCTCTGTGAAACAGACACTTATAGTGTCTTGTCTACTGTGGATTTATATTACAGTAATGTTTATGTACTAATCATTGTAGTCTAAGCATTTTGTTAACACAAAGTAACTTTAAGGTGCCTGGATTGAGTTGTTCCATCAGAATAGCTCCTGAGTTGATAGACACCAATCAGAAATACACCTGTGTATCTAAAGGTACAAATACAGAACAACATTCAAAACAGACTGTCTGTTATGATGCTGAATAAGGTGCAGGAACCATTTGGTGACTGGCTAAAGTAACAACAAAAACAACTGCAAGTAGAAAGTTTGTTCCTCTTAGGTTTTGGATTGATTAGTAAAAGATTAAAAATACTACTATGTCACAAGGAATAGTAGGAAAAGCAATATAAATTCTAAAATAAATTATTCAAGTATAGTCTATATACAAGATTTCGGTGAGAATTTTAAGAGAGTCAGTGTTATTTTATTAGAGAGGCCATTAGGGGTTTGATGCTTGGTGCTTAAGTTCTTTGACTGTCTCTTTTTTATTCCTAAACTAATTAAATAGATGTATTTTTTAAATACATAAATTGATTATTGTACTGAAAAAGTAAGTGCTGAAGTTTTAAGAAGAGCAAGATGTATTTTTTAATGCATAATTAATAGTTTAAATCTCTCCTTGAAATATTTAGTTCAACCTTACTTTTGGAGTTATTGTGGTTCACTTAATACACATATTTCTTCATCAAAGACAGACTTCCCAAGCAAAGCTTTATACACTAGAGGAATTTTACGAAGTTAAAATAGTTCTGTAATACCACTTTTAAAAATCTAATGTCTATTGCTGACAATTATTAATGAAAAGAAAGAAAAAAAGAAAGAATGGGCAATTAGCATTACAATCTTCCTTTGTATTATAGTGGCAACACTGTGATTCCTTATCACTCTTTTCTTATAGTCAAAGTCAAGTCAGTCCTGAGGCTGCTGTGACTGTTGGGGCACCTGATGCTGTAACAACCCTAGTTGAGTTGCTTTGTATCACTGGTGATTTTTTGGGCAGAGTGACTTGGTGGCTGTTGGCTTGCAGAGAGCTCATCTGTCCTTTGATAGGTCTTGTATTAGTTCTGCTGGGTGTCCACATGCCCTCCTCACCCAGGCAAGCCCAGATTGGGGTGCAGGTTTAGTTGATGATAACTCAACCATGGAACAGGCTGTACTGGTTTACATGGTATCAGAGAGCAGACCAGGAGAGGCCTGGCCTGACATCATTTCTTATAGTATACCTGGGTAAATAAATACGCATCATCTGATAAAGGATCCTCTCATTCTTTGCTTTGTTCATAAATACCACAAGAAGAAATAAATAAGACCTACTCTATTCTCTTTGCAGAACGGGATCTTTTTGCTTCTGTGTTTTCTCATTATTGTTTAGAAGCTAACTACCTCAGTGATCCTCTTTATCATGAGACAGAGGAATACTAGATAGGTAGATTTAGGTGGAGTCATTGGCCACACCCTGTGTGCCTGTTATAAATTTAAGCCAAACCCCTTTTCCTCTGTTCCATCAACAGAAAATATTTGTTGCTAAGATAACTATGATCCCTAGAGGCTGTGGTTTCATACAGGTAAAAACAGAGATGTTCCATTTAGAGCAACTAAAAACTGGCTTCCTAAAGGTAAAGCTTTCTAAAATTAAAAGAGGCTTATATTTTAACACACTTTCTCTTCTCAGCATTAGCTCACCAAAATCAACCTCTCAACTTCTATTTAACTCTAAAGCACATCTGTTTGGTGAGTGTGTGTCTTTTCTTTTTGATGTTTTGCAGAAGCATCCTGGACAAAAATGCCTTGCACATATTTGGTGACCCTGCTGGGATAATATCATTATTAGTTAAATTGTAACTCTTCAGAAAAAAGTCTCTGTCTGAGTATTTTAGAGGACCTAGCATATGGAGCCTTGATCTATTACAAACACTCCCATGTACTATTGCAAGAAGTTTTTATTTCATTATTACTTGACTTATCCATTTTTCTTTCTTTTTCCTATGTTCCCAACTATTGTAATTTTCTTAAAGGGTCAGAGTGGCAACCTGGTATATACCTATAGTAGTGCTGGGTTTTTAAGACAATGCCTTAATCTTTCTTACTAGTATATTTGATCATTGTATATTATGATCTACTTTGTAGAGCTTTGTTAAATATAGATATACTGTAGACCTTCCTTAGCTGCTCTTCTTCAAATGCTTGTTTTTCTCTGTACTGTACTTACTGTGTATATTCCATTATGCAGAGTATGGTGCCATCATATGACTCTTTTCCTGTTAGAGTTGTTAACAATATAAAGAAAGCTTTCTGTCTTTGAATAATGGAGAAGGGATTGACTTACTACTGGCCCACAACCATTGTTTGAAGCAGAGGCTGTCCTGTGGTTGCACATAAGTGCCTAATGCAATAGAAACCTGATGTAGCCATGCTAAAAATAATAGTGGATCTTGTTTGGTGCATTAGGGTGCTATCAAAATGTTTTGTCATACATACATACATGATGTATGGATGTGTATGTATAGATATATTTAGTGATATATATACACACGTTTGATGGTATATATCACATATAATCAAATGTACACAGCAGTAGGCTAAACCCTTTGAAGGACACGGTTCCAGCCGCAAAGAGCCTATGCTCCAAATCAAACAGTGGCTTTTGTTAGGAGACATCTGGCAGCCATGTTCTGCAGTTGCTGTGGCTTCCAGAATGACTTCAATGGAAGAGCTGAGCTGGAAGTCATAAAAGCTCGTCATCTGTCTGAGGCTCCCTGGGGAGGCAGCCTGAGGTGGGACAGATTTCCTGGAGATCAGGGGTGCTCATAACTAGGGGAAAACACGATTGCAGCACGAGTCCGCCGCATGCACGTGAGCCTTGGTCTGGGGGATACATCTTTACAGGACGCTTGACTTCGTATCTCCTCTGTGGCCACCGAGTGCCCTGAGCTCGGAGCAAGCCTTCGGCGGGGCCGAGACGGGGTCACCCGGCGCGGCCAATCCTGCTTCTTTCCCCCCGAGCAAGGGGCCGGGGCCCGCGCGGCGCCACCAGCAGGCTGGGCGAGGAGCCGGCAGGCCTGCGGGAAGGGGCAGCCAGAGCCCCAGCACTAGGGGGGCGCTACACTTCTCCCGCTGCCCTCTCCCTAGTCCTGGGGAAGGGCGAGTTCCCCCTGAGGACTGTGTCCGGGGCGGGGCGGGGGCGGTAACTGCTGTTGCTGGGGCCGGTGTTTCATCGGGCGGCGGCGGGGGCCTGTGGCGGGAATGCGCGCCTGCGCGCTGGGCTCTGGCAGGGACGTGGCCCGGCTGCTTGGGGCCGGAGCGGCGCGGCGCGGCGCG